AAGATGGCCAGAGTACTGATCTTAATGTTAGCACTTTATGAAGCATGACATATTTCAATTAGGAGTAATAAAAAAAATGCATGCATTCATGAATGTGTTTTTTTTTCAATTATGTGTTCTTGAAAATTGGACTTGTATGAGAGCCATTGCAGAAGCAAAAGAAGCAGATGGTGTGTCTCTTTCAGTCGGAGTGGACGTCGCTTTCAGTATTGGAGGAATCTATAAATCTGTCGGCATCAATACCATGGGGCCTGTGACAATTTTCAATATTTTTTTTTACATAAAAAGGTCAAACTCGCGTCTCAAAAACCGAAGCTGCATAAAAACGCCATGTATTTTGTAACAGAGAAATTAAACTTTAATAGAGGCAGCTAAAGCATCGTTAGGGCATCTTCAAAGGAGACATGTAAAACACCGGTATATATCCCGCCGGACATATTTGTTCACTTTTGTAATCCAACGGACCTGTATCAGTCTGTGAAGTTGTCCGGACGTTTCAATTCCGGTATTTTGAAGACAAATATGGGGGGTTTTACCGGAGTCCGGACATGCAATTGACCATTCACATGCATGGCCCTCTCTTCTTTCTCTCCTCCCAACCACATATGCATGGTCCCCTCTTCTCTCTCTTTCAAACGGGATACTAAATCATAAATATCCCACCACATGCATGGTTTCCACCTTTTTTTTCTCCTCTCAGCCGAATACTTTGTAATTAACATTGAATAACCCCCTCCCGTATCATGTCTGCGGATCACGTCCAGATATAAAAATAGACATATACCGAAGAAATTTGCGGATCAGCGTTGGAGATGCCCATAGGCAGCACTTGAGCTGATGACACGGACGTTGTAACAAACATTAAGGGACACCAGGAAATGAAGGCGTGCATTGCCCCTCCCTCCTATCTTGAAGGTTAGATTGTACTCCCTCCGTCCGGATTTATTAGGCCCCCTTTTTGGCTAAAGTTTGACCAAAAAATTTAACTAATAACATATAAACTATATTTAACACAAATTATATCGTCGGAAAGTTCTTTCAAATACAAATCTAACAGTACATTTGTAGCATATTTTTTATATTTTATTAGTCATATGAATGGCCAAAATCTGACTAAAAATACTAGGGGGCCTAATAAATCCGGACTGAGGTAGTAGATTCATGAGAAAAAGTGTTATAGTAGTTAAAGAGAAGTAATTTAGGGTACAGAACACATGTTATGCATGCAGCTTGAAGCTAGAAAGATGGTGCAAGCATACAAGTCCTTACACACACGCAAGTTTATGGAACTAAACCGATTAACTCCCACTAAGAACTCGAGGTGGTGTGAACAGAACAATAGTGGGCATGATTATGTTTGTTTTCCACACTACTATTCATGATAAGAAGCAAAGGTACTGCCTATTATAATGTATGCTGGAGAAACTGAGATACGACGGATGTACCTTGGCATACAAAATTCAACATCCATTAGCAGACATGTTTAAGTTTATTGTGGGTTGATGTACCTTTGTATAGGTAGAAGAAGCAAAATGGAACTTGTTTGAACAATTTCTTGGCAACAGATTTAGTGTTGGAGACAACTACATGCATAATATAATCTATGCAAAGTAGTGGCTGCACCCACTGTCGGTGCACGGTGCACCCACGCAAGAAAATATATCAAAATATTTCGAAAAAATATGAAACTTCGTGGAAATGATGATCAACAAATGTTATGAGGGCTTGCAAAATTTGGTGGTCAAATAACATTCGAGAAGCGCTCTACAAAAAAGACAAAATTGCAAAATCTGCTCAAACAGTGCACGTACGTTTTGACTAATTTTCAGTGATTTTGTCTTTTTTGTAGAGAGCTCCTCGAATGTTATTTGGCCATCAAATTTTTCAAGCCCCCATAACATTTGTTGATGATCATTTCCACGAAGTTTCAGATTTTTTTAAAATGTTTTGATATGTTTTCTTGCGTGGGTGCACCAAGAGTGGGTGTAGAAGAACCACTCTCAATAATCTATTAATTACTGTTAGAACTCGGAATTTTCCGGCTGCCTGCAGCACGCCAAGGATGTCACCTGCTTCGATGCCGTCTGCAGGGGAAAATATACGAACTTAAAATCTCAAATTTAAGCATTTCAAAAAATTCTGAAAAGAAATCATAAATGTTCACAACACATATGTCGACAACCCCTAAAAATTCAGGTCAAAATTCGAAATACACATGGAGAAACAAAAATGACAAATTCAGGTGGGAATAGTGTCATGTTTGCTTTTGTCTTTTTTGACACTATTCATGAAAGATTAGTCTTTTTTGTTTCTCGGTGTATATTTCGAATTTGGATTTGAATTTTTTAGGGGATGTCTTCATATATGTCATGAATAATCCATGATCTTTTTTCATAATTTTTTGCAACGTATTACCTAATACTTTCCCGTCTGCAGGTTGTTGTACGACGTGGCGGCGCTGCTCGCCCTCGTGTCTGCCATGGGTTCTCAAGTGATGCAACAACGGCCATCATCAACTCCCATTGCTCCCTGGAGACGCCAACGTGCCGCCGTGGCCAGGACCACGTCATCCTCGCGCCATCGGGGGCACCACCTACCAATACTAGGAACTAGGTTGCTAGCGTGGATGGCATGGCCGCATGGTTCTTCTCCGTCCATCCCGGGCGGAGGCTCATCGATATTCGTACCGGGGCCGTCACCAGCCTACCTCCCTTAGGAGATAAGACAAAAATGGTGATGGACAATTAGCGCCGCGTCGTCTACAAAGATGTGGATACAAATTATTTTCATGAATGCACCTACTGACCTACATATTTGAGTCACATGGTGAGCTTTTGTGGACATCGGTCCAGGTGAAAAAAAATCAGATTCATTACAGTTATGGTGACCCGCCGCACGTTCTCCGGGTAACGATGCGTGCACTTCAGAAAGAGCCTAGCAGTGGCGAGGTGGAGTGGGTGGTGAGGGATGGCTGGAGCCTCGGCAACGATGTCCTATTTCTGGG